TGTCGCTGACAATACGCTGCGGGGGGCTCGGTTACTGAGACCATGGGCTACGCTTCCCTTGAGGCCTCGTTCGTACAGTCCAAAGTTGCACCGCGTGCGGAAACGAAGAAGGGCTTTGATCGAGAGCGTTCTCGGAATCGGCGAGGCCGGGAGTCTTCCATGTCCTCGACACAGGGTTCATGAGCAGAGAATACGTGAAGAAGGTCCTGGTGATGTTGTGATGTCTTAGACACGCGAGCCTCGCTCGAGGCGACAGTTGAATGTAGCCTGTAGGTGTTGGCTGAGCGCTCCTTTTTAACTTTTGGAAAATATTAGAGTTTGCTTTTACGCTAAATAAATATGCAGAGAATACTACACCAATTCCCACATCATATTGGAAATTGATGATTATCGCTTGATTTTTGTAATGTGACCGAATTTTGAAACGAGGCTTTTTCGCAAGCTGTTTCTGTAACGGGGCTTCCGTAGCCGTTTCGCTTAGACGAAGCTTGGTTAAGATCGGTGGTCTTCGTTCGATACTTAGAACCAGTACAACTGAATGTAAGGTTAGCGTGCGCTCTTGTATTCCGTGGAAGTGCAGTTCACTATAGGTCAAGCTTGCTTTGATGTTTGACCTTCAGAGTCTACGTTAAAAAGTGCACATAGGCTGGGACGCTCTTACCAAAAGAGTATACAAGAGACTCTCAAATTATATCTAAAATAATATTTATACATTTTACGATCTCTAATAATGGAGATCTCTTTTCTTTCTGACGTGCTGTGATCTTCATAATACCGATATTTCGTAAAATATTTGCCTATCAATCGTGTCGTACAATTATACCGTATTGTAATTTATGCAATTCTACCAGATTTCTAAAAGTCAAGTACACAAGATTTTCCGTTACGTTCTCCTCAGAAGGATGTAAGCAATACCTGGAATCACGCTAATTAACCCCTGAGTACACTGCGCAAAAGTAGGCTCCCGCGAGCATCCACTGACCTAGGGTTTCGCCCCACTCTCGGCGTTTTATCGTGTCTATTCATCAGATCATACTTGCACCGAAGGTGCTCCTAGAGAAATAAAGCGAATAACTCAACGAGCGCCCACACACGACTGGACTTCGCCTAATTGGATTGTTGGTGAGGATGCCGAGGGTCACAGCGACTCATTTAGTCACAACCAAACAACTCCGCCCTCATTCGGCGATACACGGTCTAGCAGTTCTCCTAAAGTGGGCGCTCGTTGCGCTCAGCATTCCCGCTGCGTGGCCTCAGACTCTTTGCCCAACTTAATCGATGGGAATTGATTTGATACCTCGCCATAATGCTCACGACGATATCCAGCTCGTTACCATTGATCTGAAATTAGCGCAATAAGTCCAGCTTGCTCTATTGCGTGCGCGAGGGTCACCCCACGATATCCATTGTCTTACCGTTTAAAGTCGCTGGCCGTGCTGGTGTGGAGCTCACATGAGAGCCTTTCGCTCACACTCAGATAAAAATGAGCATCAGAAAGTCGCTCTGTAAGCGATTTCTCAATCTAGCGATTATCACCCCCAGGATTACTGCCTGCGTTTGAAGCAGCAGTGGTTGGAAAAGTCTGTACCCTTCCCGAAAGATAAATACTGAATTTTGGAGCGTCACATTGAGTTTCAGACGAAGTCTGCGCACTGGATGAGATATAAATACGGCGTGTTTTTCGCCTATCGGCTTTACGAGCCAGCTTTAGCAAAGCTGGACGCCACCTAGATTATTATATCATTCTTTAAATTGAAAGGCACGATAAAATCCCATCACCTAAAGATCGATG